CAGTCCTGTGACTGTGCCCAGGGTCATATGCAGAAGGGGAGTGAACTGGGAGCTGCCTAGGAGTCGGTTAGCGAGCCAAAGCATTGGGAGGTTGCAAAACTGACTTGAGGTCAAAGTACAAACATGCGTTAAAATAAAACGTGACACGTTTCTTAATTCACTTCTGAAGGAGGAGCAGGGGATGTTTCCAGAAGACAGTGGTTTGCTACCAAGTTGCATGATCATCCTCTTTGCAAGTGATTTAAAACACACCTTTGTCCTTGTACGCATGCTCACACAAGCGATGATGAAATTAGCTTCTTTGTCGGAGGAAAGATTTTTTGTTCAGGTAATACGGTTCAAATCAAAAGCAGGTTGAGCTTTCTATAGGAAAAGAAAGAGAAGTATGGTTTCCTCCAGACATTGCTCCACGAGTCACAAGTTACATGACACAGCATTTTCCATGGAAGCTTAATTGCTGGAGCTGATGAGTACATCTGCACCCTGGAACCACCCTTTGTGCTTGATACACCTAAACACTTAACCTGGCATTTCTAGAAATTTTTTTATTAATACTTCATAGATTTTAAACTCAACCTTTTAGTATTTCGAGTATATATCAGAAGCCCATTACAGGAAATTTAATGACATTTTTTTCAGTTTGAAAAGCAACTGCCCATTCTTAACAGCCTTGCACATAAGAAGTTGCAATGGCTGTTAGTGCTGTAATACAGATGTAGTAATAATAAATTATTATTATACCATAGATGTAATCAAATTTCAGGTCATTTCTCAGTAGGAAAGGTAGTAGAGTGGGGGAGTGTCCACTGTGCCTTTTTTTAAGCTTCTGGCCTTCAAGATGATGTGTTATATCAAACAGGAAAATATATATTTGCTGGTTGAAAACCTGCAAAAGATATGGTGGAGCCTTGATGGCCAGAACAGGTTTGTTTTAGGAATGACTGATTTTTGCATCTTTAATAAAAAGGGCTTCATTTTTGGATCAAAAAGCAGATGTGCTGGAAGGTCTCTGCCAGAGCTGTTCAAAACATAGCAATGTCCTCAGTTTTCTGTGTGAAGATTTTGTTTGTGAAGACATTTCAGCTTAAGAAAGGTGGTTAAAAAATCCCAGCTTGGAGCTGGAAGGAGTAAGAAACTTGATATAAATAATAAGCAACAGGATTTGTTACATTCACAGCATCTCTGGATAAATCTGTGTAACAGATTGCACAGTGAGTTTGCTATAAACTAGGTCACTTGTTTTGTGGGGTGAAAGTGCTGAAAGAGTAATAAGCAGCAATTTTAGAATGGCATGGATTGTTCAGCATATTGTGATTCTAAAGCCTAAGTAGAAGGTTTGATGCTTATAGCAAACAGTGCAATTGCTAATGTATCCTCTCAAATGAGCATTGTAGTTAAGACCAAATAGCTTCACTGTGAAGGGAATTGGCTATCTGGTTTTTATAATTTTTAAAAATTTGTCCTTGTTGTTGTTGAATGTAGTATTTTAAAGTGTTTTGAAACAAATGACGGTTAAAGTAGCTTTTTAATGCTGCTGTAGCACTTATTTCCCCTGTTATATCAGTGACCAGAATCAAGTTACTTGAAGGAACAAAACACAAAAAAGCCCCAAACAAATGAACAATTCCCCCCCCCCAAACAAACAAACAAACAAACAGCTTAAAAGGTTCTTGGGATATGTGTGGTGGATGTATGGATTTATAATGCTCATGTGAAGCAATATGAATGTGTCTTCTCTGATAGGTGTTGATCCTAAGAATTGGTAATTGGTCTTTGAACTTGTACCCGCTTTTGTGCTGGTAGTGATCCTCAGGAGCCAGCAAGCCATATACCTCCTTGCTGAGTCCTGCAGAAATGCCTCCTGAAAAGGCAAGCATGTATTCCTTCCTTAAAGCCTTGCACTGGAGGGACAGCTGCTTACTAATTTAAGGAGAAAGAAATGCATTGCTTTAGAAGTTGTCACTGGTTTACGATGTTTCTTGCTCCAGTGACGGGAGAAGGTAAAGCCACTCTCTGTGTATCAGTTGTACTTTTAGGTGCTGGAAGGCTGCTCTCTTGACAGTACCTGCGTCTCTTGAATTACCAAGAAACGTTGGCACTGAAGCTTGGTAGAAGCTATTTCTGTTAGGTGCCAGCAGTCGATCTTAAATCTACTGTTATGTAACATAGCTCATGTTCTCATCAGTAATGAAGCAAGCAGGTCAACACTTGGTGGTCATCTCTCTTCTTTAGGCATTTTTATGTGGATAGTCATCCTCACATTGAAGCATGATATGGGAAGATGGAGATGAAGCAGAACAGCAGCCATGAAACTGAGAGCAGCATTCCCAGATGTTCAGACCTATAGAAAGACAATGATGTAATCAGTTCAGGCTGTTCTCCATTTTAGCCCTTAGGCTAAATATGTCCTGGTCAAATTGTGTAGAAGAAAAAAATCCTTTGCATGTACTTTGGAAGAATTTAAGTATATTTCTTTTTATTTGCTTAGGACTTTATCAGGCATTAAGTTGTATCTGTCTGGACACATACAATATTTAAATGCATAATGATTAAACATGTTGAAAAGCTGTTCCCAAAGCTCACTTTTAAGTACCTGTAATACTTGTCAAACTGTCATCTCTTCTCCCTTCTGGCCCCACCTTACTTGTGGGAAAACAGGGCTGGCTTCATTACATGCCTTGAGGTCACTTAACCCATACAGTTGTGGATCACTGTATGGGGAGTGTGTGTGGGGGAAATGCAAGATAAGATCTGCTGGATTAATAAAAGGGCATTTTTGTAAAATAGGAATGCATTTATTGTCAGAAGTAAGTAGTTAAGTTAGCCTCTGTCCTTACCAGGTGACTTCTGCTGTCCCATGACGTCTGTAATGGTCCAAAGTAGACATAAGTGTCACCTGCACACGTACACGCCTGTACTGTGTCTCCTAATTAAACCTTTAATTCCTCATATATATGCTCAGTGGAAGGAATTTACAGAATTGATACCAATTGAATTACATGTAAGAAATCTTTAGGTACTGAGTAATTACCAGTTCAGCTCCAGAATCCCTCCTAGAAAGTAGGACGAGGTTGGGCAGATGCATCTGTTTTGCGTTACAGAGCTCAATTACTTTAAAACTGTTGGGGGGGGGGGAAAGGCATAGGGAGCTCACTAGTGCCTCATCAGCATTTCCTCCTCGGCTTTTAAATAAAGTGGGCTGAGTTGGACTTGTCTCTGGCTTTCTGGAGGTACAGTTTAACAGTTAAGATCCTTCCTAAAAGAGCTATGAAAAAGGAAGTCCAATGGTTGGTTCACTTCAGCTGGAGTCTGCCATCTCCCATATTAATGGTGATCTGCAGGAGGAGAATGAGTCTATGGTTTTTAACTCTTAATTAGGAAAGAAAGTATTTGAGAAAGGAACAAGTTGGACGTTTAAACAAACTGCTTTTTTGTTGATCTTTAAAACAAAAGGCTTAGAAAATTAATAAAAGGCAATCGAACTGGGTGGGTACTCTGACTAACAGAATGCTGACTGTTCCCCTTGAATTGGTGCTTGCAGACATACAACTTGATGTTCAGAGTCCTTTATCAAAACCTGCTCCTCACCCATGTCCTCACCAGTATTTGAAGGTTACTGACAAACCCATGGACTGTTTTGGCTTCTTGGTTTTGTGGAGGAGCTGCTCATGAACATGTTGCATTTGATACGTAGCTGTCTACATGTCTTAGGAACAAGGACTGGTGGGCCATACTCAGGGGGCATTGTATATGTTAAAAAAAACACCCACAACAAAACCACAAACCCAGACCAACTGCTCCTTAAAAGCATTTGTTTTTTTCTTTTCTGTATGACAAGATTGGTATGTAAGGATTTCTCTGTGTGGCTTCAGAAAAGACTTTTCCACCCTATATTTCTTCCATGTGGCCCTGCAGATTCCTCAGTGTTACTGACAACAGGTTGCCTCTCTAGGGATGTTCAGGTGTACTATGTGTTAATACCAGTGTCTGTTTCCTCCTCCCCCCTCCACCCTATTTCATCTCTGGAGTGGAAACAGGCCACTTTATATGCCTCTTGAGTTCACTTCTGGACAGTATCTCATGCAGCAGCCAGTGAACTGCATAGAGTCCTTGCTCTCATGTAAGCTGCTGAAAAACACTCTGCTAGTGCTGCTCAGATCATCAGTCTTTCCAATATGTGGCTTCAGTCTGCTTTGTACTGTGGTTTTGACTCAATGTGGACTTCCCTGCTGTCCCAAGGGGAGCAGCCAGTAGACATCCTCCACTCCCTGTCATGCTCACTGGGGATGCTTCACATCTTCCTTTCCAGCTCATCTCTGCCAGGGGGTAGCTTTCTTGGTCCTATACGTTTCTAGTCCTTTGTTCATCTTTGGGATAAAGGCTGAGTACATGCCCCCAGGGACAAGTGATGCTGCCCAATCAGGGACTCTGCCGCTGCTGGTAGCAGTGGGATGTGGCCAAAAACTTCATTGCAAAGTGGGATGTGCCCAAAAACTTCATTTGTTATTTTGCTTAGTTTTAGTGTGGTGTTTTGTTGTAGAGTTTATTTATTTACGGATAGGGTGGGACTTAACATCTCGTGTTTATATATATTGGAAAACTGAATACTTTCTCCTTGCACTGACACAGATTCACAATGTCATCTTGAGGCTTTCAAAAGTAATACTAATACAAGGCTTTGCTTTGGGTCACTTGCACACATTAAGAATCATTAGACCTGAATGTATGTGATGATTTGATTTCCTCATGTTTCAGCTGTTACATTGCTGGTAAAACCCAGAGCTCCTGGGAGGCGTTGCGCCGTCAGCTGTAGGAAACTGCAGCCCTCCAGCGGGGCTGGTGCTCCCGTCCGTCCTCCTCCTCTGTCTCCTCCTCTCGCCCGCTGCTGACGCACTCGGCGGGGTGAGACACTATGGCCGGGGAGGGAGCGGCGGCAGCGGGAGGGCGTTTGCTTCGTGGCCGGTGCTGGTCCGCTTACCTCTCGTGCTTTTCGTTTCCAGGCGCTTCCTGTGCGGGACTGGGGAGCAGGGAGGACAGGAGTACTTGCGGAGCCTGGTGTGACACTGCCTGTGCCGGGAAAGTTGAAAGGCAACTTTTAATTTGAAGGAAGTTCGGCTCACGAAGGAGACGCCAGCGGGAGCCTCAGGTCCGGGAGTCGCTCTGCTGAAGCAGCGGAGGGGTCGTAAAACGCTTCAGCTTGCAGAGGCCTCGCTGCTGTCTCCCTTTCCTCTTGCCATAAACATCGTGTCTGGCTGGTAGCTGGGAAAAGTTGGCTGCTGTTACCTGCTGCGTGATTTCCATAGGTGAGTATCTCTCTGGCTCTGGATGATCTCATTTTAGTTAAGAGGCATGTTTAACTGCTCGTGAAGCGCTAGGTTGGAAGCAAGCAGGAGGACTGGCATACAACAGTAAGATCTAAAATACGGCTTTTGGGCATTTTATTTATTTATTTATTTATTTTTAAAGGTGACGCTCAAGCTTGTGGTTGTCCTCCGTCCCCTCACTTCCCCCTTAAAGCCAGCCACGCTGCCAGCACCCAGGGCAGCAGTTACATGGCTGGTAAGTACCCCAGTCTTGTTCCCCAAATTATGTCCAGGGTCCCGCATGTCTCTGTCAAGTAGGTTCATATCTCACTGTGGCTGGACATTGAGGCATGGTAAAGTCTCTCCATGGTTTCTGGGTTTTGAGATTTTTTTTTTTGCAACATACCAGTACGAGGTAATCAGAGTTATGTGGTGTGGCAGTGGTGCTTGCTTGCAGAAACAGAATTCAGGGACAAGCTGCTGTTCCTTTTGCCATCTTGGGCACATCTCCCAACCCCTCCTTAATTGCTGCCAGTATCCCCAGGGCAATTGCAGTGAGTGCAACAGAGAGTAACAGTAAGAGCAAGAAACTGTTTTGGTTTTTTTTTAGCAGCTGTACAAAGCAACTGTGATGATACGCATGTGTGTTACCCACTGCCCCCAAATGTGAATACTTTGCTTTTAGAGGAGGGTGGCCCTGGGCGTGTAGAGGAACACAGTAAGTAGTCATGGGGAAACACAGAAATCCTTTTGATGAGCTGAATGTGCTTCAGGTGGAGGAATATGACTTTATCATTAAGCTCTTAGGTACACATCTGGGTGTCTCCATGGTATGTGATCCTATTTGTGTGCTTCTGGCATAGATGCCTTTTCTCCTCACTGTGAATCTCTTCTGAACTGAATGCTTTAATCTGAGTTTTGGTTTTTTTTATTCAACTTTTGGGCAAGAAATTAAAACCCCTGTGCATGTAGTAGCTCATCTCTTTGTGTATTTTTGTGTATCTGTGTTTGTGTTTATGCAGGCATTGTTTTTTAGTCTGTGTATGTGTATATATATAAAAAAAGTTGTTTTCTAAAGCAGGATGGGGTAAGCAAGCTTAGAGGAGCATTAAATTCCTCTTTTCCTGTTAAGTAATACCATGCCTACTTCCTTTGTGAAGTAGGCATGTTGATTTGGTTGTGCAAATGAAGGCAGGAAAGCAGACCATAACAAAACACACTCTTATGAAATACCTGCTTAGAGTACTGTCTGGTAAATCATTAGCACATGGTCACAGTTCTTGTAAAGGCTGCTAAAGAGGCTTTTGACCTCTGAAACTCCCTTTTTCCAGAGGTGAGAAGTCAAGTTACTTGCAGATCTTGTTTCATGTGCGGGTATTTGCTGCTGTTGTGATTTCTGTACTGGTTAATCAAGCAATTTAGTTCAGTGGATTAAGAACAGGAGAGGACCACCTCCCCATGCGTAAAGAATATTTTCCTAAGAGAACAGGTACAGCTAAGGCAGAGGGAAAGAACCCAGCATGCCAGGCTGCTTGGTGGGATCAGCTCATGCATTGTTGTTGTGCTGGAGAAACCATAGGTAGATGATGCTTTTATTTCATGTGAGCAAGAAGCTTGTTCTGTGAAGCAGCTTGAGGTGGGAATCAGTATTCAGCTCTTCATTAAAGTAACTTGAGGCCAGGAATATTTTTGCAGAAACCAGCGACTAAGATGTGTGGTTATCCACAAACTGACAAGAGCAGTGTACTTTCCTGGGCCATTGCTAGTGTGCGTAGTGAGGAACAGGTTTTTATACCTATCTGCCACCTGTGCTGAGTGTGGATATGGGCCGTTGTGTTCATGGTGGGGTTTCTCTCCCCTGGCCACAGCAGCAGCATAGCAGTTGCTGAATCACATCAGTTTCTGCCACATGCCTACCTGTAAATGCTGCAACTCATTTAATGAAACTTAATTTTAAATGGGTTTAGGGCTAATAGGCTGTTTTGCTCAGCATCGTTTTTTCCTGGGATTCAAACCTGTTTGAGCTTGGAAGATTTGCTGTCGGTCTAGCTGTGCTTAATTCTACACTAGACTTCTGTTTTGCCTGACACTTGTTTCTGTAGGCATGTAGGAAATGGATTTCTCCAAGGCATTTGATACTTATAATATGTAAAGGCCTGTCTGCGTTTGCAGTAAGCCTATTTTGTGCAAGTAAGTTGAAGTACAGAAAATATGTGCAGGTAACTCAAAATACAGAAAATATGTAGCATATGAAAACACATCATGGAGAACAGCAACAGTAGCCTCATTTGCAGTACTTAAAGTTGTTGCTTGAAAAAAAGAGAACGGACTTAGCTCAAGAAGGGCTTAAGCTGTTCTTATTGTCTGCATCCAAGCCCATGACTCAAAACTTCCAGCTAAATTCTTAAGCTCCCTAAATTGACCTTGGAGTTAGGCTTTGCATTCCCTAAGCTGTGTTGTTTTAGGTGCCAAGTTCTCAGCCTGGCTGTCTGATGCCAAAGGTCCTACAAGGAGATTTTCGGTTTTCTTCCTGAGTATAGCTGGTCCTGTAAGTCTTGAGAGCACAGTCTTGAAACCTGGACCTCACACTAAGAAAACCCAAAATAACACCAACAAACACAACCCCCCCCACAACAAACCAACCACAACAACAAAAAAGAAACACAAAGAAAAAATAAAACAACACATCCCAAAGCCAAAAGCCTGCTTTGTGCTATTCCACATGGCTCAGTGCTTTGCACAGCCCCATGTTTCCATGTGCTGGTGAAAGCTCAAAACTGCTCTTGTTGCTCGGGAAAGTGCCCTTTTTGCTTGGCTAACTTTACAGGGTGGCTGCATATCATCTTTTAAAAGCTGAGCTTTATAAAGCTGTTCTACCATGTGAGGAGAGAATTCAGGGTTTGCTGCATGTCTGTGTTACATCTAGTACCAAGTACCTGGAGGAGATACCCAAACCTGGAGGAGAATATAAATCCAGATGTTTCCCCAAGAGATGCGTGAGTTTGTTGGAGGTCTCTGTAGTGGAGCAAGTGCTCTCAAATGCTGTATCACGTGGTAATGCTGGCTTGCAGAAGGCGTCTCTCTCCTAGGAGAGCCAGCCTGGACAGCAGCAGCCCTTCGGACAACCAGGTCGCCAAGCCATGAGGGACAGGGAAAAGGAATACAGTTCTGTTCATTCTCACGTACTTTGTGCTAGCGGTTCAGGATAGTGTTTGAGACTCTCTCTGCTGCCCCTTGTGCACTTACCACTGGCCTGTGGATGGGTTTGGGTTTTTTTTGCCAGGAAAATTAGCCTGATGGAGTACTCGGTTGTCTCCAGCTGCTTTCTGCAGCTGTCTGCATGGCAAAGAAGGTGGGGGAAATGACTGGTTAATAATAGAAAGGCAGATTAAGAAACGAGGTAGGGTTTCAACATACAGCCAAGCTGCTCTGACAACTCGCTGCTGCCACCGAAAGGGAAAGGACTTGCTTATGTTCTTGTGACTGCGCAGCCAGCTGCTTTGTCCACACAACCCAGACGAAAACCAGGAAAAGCAATTTTTCCCATGCAGTCACGCAAGCACAGGGGAGGAGGGTGGGGATACAAGACAGAAGGGAAGGGATACTTCCAAGAAAAGGCTTGTTGAACTCTGCTGGTGCAAGCAACCCAAGTTCAGGTGCACAGGAGTTGGAGCTGAATTCAGGTAAGCAGCTTAGCACTTTGTATGTCAGTTCTCCTGTGTGCTCAGCTTGGCTTTAAAAATCACAGCTACAGCATGCATGCTGCCACTTCTAGCTGGGGCTGAGCTAATTCAGGTTAGTCTACCCAAGTTAAGAGCAAAGGAGTTTTACTTCGCTGTTTGTTCATATTATGATAGCTTATGGGGAGAGTTTGAGTAGTTGGGAAAAAAAACAGCCCCACATAAAAAGTACTGGGGCTATAATTTCACTTAGTAAATGTAAATGTGTTGCTTGGTCATAATATTGCAGTCTTAGACTATTTTGCAGTAAGCATGTAAAGTGTCAGGAGAAAGGTAATCAACAGACAAGCCAAAGATAAATATATTGTGTGCTTTGCAAGCAGCAGGCTTTTTAAGAGTTGCTTTTAGGAAGTGGCCATTATGCAGTGCTTTGTCAGCAACTCTTCACTCAGTGTTTATTGCTATTCCTTGTGGTTATCACTGGTCCTTGTAACTGGTCTGGATATGTTTTCTGTTGCCTTTCTTAAAGTAAGGGCAAAAGCCAGTTAAGGAAACCATTATTTTCTTTACTAGAAAGTTTGTTTCCTGATTCTTTTTTTTGTCTTTGGTTTTGGGGCCCGGGTGTATTTTTGTTTGCTTTCATTTTTTTTTAATTCTTTGTCAGTCTTGAGAACATTGTGATTTCTCAAGTTGCTCCTTGGTTCAGGTGAGCTCCTCTTGGTTTAGCCACATGTCAGTAACCAGTGAACAGTCCAGTTCAGTGCCAGATGAAGAAGGAAATATCCAGGGGCATTTCAGATACCTCAGATACCCACCCTAGATGGACCCTAAAAACCAGTAAGTGCACTGTACCACAGGATGTGTATAGGGAATTCCTTACACAGGACATGGTGGAGGGAAAATAGCAGTTACTTAAACATAGCTAAATAATACTTAGCTATCTAATACTTATTTCAGAAAACCTGTAACGTAATACTTTACCTGAGCAAATAACTTGAATACAAACAGCATTTATTCTTTTCAAGAGGCTGTAGATGAAAGCATATTGAGAGCTTGGTATAAAGTCAAATTTTACCTCTCTGTTTGTGAAACTGGAATTACTGTCTTCTAGAAGTTAATTTAAGAATTGAAGTTACTCTTTCAGCCTCTGGACTAAAATTCTGTAGACAAGCAGCCTGTTTTATTCAGCTAAGTTTCAAAATGTTTCAACATGCTTTGTCCCTTGTTACTAGGCTGCTTTTCATATTACCTGGAGTAAAAATTTGTTGGTCCCAGTGATATGTATAAATGTAAAAGAGCACTTAAGTAGTCAAGCAAATT